ATGATCCTGTATTCTTTGGAATATTCTCACTTCCTAACATGTTCACGACACCTCATATGGTCTTGAACAAATTAAAATAATGTTTCCCTTACAAATGCTTATGCTTACTGTATATAAAGTAACTATTAAAATTTCAACTTGCAAGTTTGTAATGTTCGATTGTTCAACCACATGCTGATTGCAAAGGTGTCACAAAAGTAATTATTCTGCACTGTCCAGCTACCCAACTGGGAAGATTTAAACAATACAGAAAGAGTGAATTTCATAATATGAAATTCAAAATCTGACTTCAAAACTAAGCATTAACGTTACATATATGCGAACACAAAGTGTTTGAAGCACAAGCTCACAGAATCACAGATCCTCAGAGCCTTTCAGTTGTATCACTAATGATTTTGAAAAGCAAGCCTTTTTCTTTTCATCAGACATGTAGAAAAAAAACATTTAAATAAATGAGCCTCAACATGTTTATACCATAGATCATGATTGAATTAGGAATAATTACTAAATGAAAGAAAAAAAAACATTTTAGAATGTTCTTTGGTGAGACTACATACCAATACATGGAAAAAAGCTTTCCTATATTCTACAATCCTATATTATGTTCTGATAAAAAAAGCCTCAATGTGTCTATTTGTTGTAACACATTTTATACTGTAAAGTATCTTGTTTCATTCAAATTCACACTTACACCCAATTTATTGGTAATTCATTTATGAAAATTATCTTGAGAAAACACAGGCTGTTTGTATTTTACCTGGGCTAGATAGCTCAACTCTTGTCTCATTGGTTTTCTGTGAAGAATGACTTGACCTTTTCTTTATACAATTGCTAGGCGTCATAATCAGATCTGTGGGCATACCAGTCATCACACTACAAGGAACTTTGACGCGGACTCATAAAGGTTAAACAAACATAAGGCATTACATATGTTGTATACGACTAACTCACTGCTTACAGCCCACTTCATCACAGCAAGGAAATTCGTTCTGCTGAAAAAACACTGATAAAGCTCACTCGTACCATGGGCTGGCCTCTACAGGCTAGGAGAGAAACATTTCTTGAAAGAATCTCCAGATCTACTAGGGGCTAAATAATTCTGCACGGTACATTACACTACTGGTAACACTGCACAGCTCAAGTTGACTATTTTTGTGTCACTGAGTTTTCGACAATACTGCCTGTAATTTTAACTTCATTCAATGGCTATGTGGGAGTTCAAGCATATCTGATGGCCCACCTTTGAAGGTTATACAGTAATTCAGGAAATCATTATACTTGCTTTTATTTTGCAAGTTGTGTTTTCATGATGAGAACCATTTCAGAGGCATTTCACAATCTGAAGAAATTGCAACCAGAACAATTAAGAGGTATAGAATTTTAGGAAAATACATTATTATTAAAAATTATACAAAGAAAGTAAAATCAAGTAATGAATGAATTTTTTTAAGTAAATATCTATAGGTCCAGAGCTAAATATGTCTCTATTTGAAGTTCAAGCAAATAATGGGAAGTGTATGTATTTACAACTGGCTTATGAGAATGGTTGCAATTAAAGAAAAAACTACAATGGGAAAGTTTCATGGTATTTTCCTCAGTCATACCTGGTAGGGGAACACAGATCTGTATTCACTGAAAACAAATACTTCTATATCATGCTTGAGTTTCTGGATAAGAATAACATCAATGAAGAAATTTTACCCCATCAACAGAAATTTTGTACAAACCCAACTTTTGTACTGAGATCATTCTGTCTTACAGAATAAAAAAAGAGACCAAGACTATTAGGAATATGAGATGATTGGTTTTGGATCGTGAACAGTACAAACTAAGATTTGTAATACAATTATCTGTTTGAAAGATCCAAAATACCCCAGCAAACAAATTTAGGCATTGGTGCTCTTAGATACATGAGTACAGTACTGTACGTACAGTATGCTGATTCTAAAAACAGTAAGATCTCCTAACAAATGGAGTTTGTAAGTAAAATGTGACAGCAGATACCTAACATTGACCAAACTAAGAAAAATGTGGGGAACAAACATCGTTTTTCCAGTTACTAATTTGTATCTCTCCCTCCACCCTGTTATTGTCCATTGTTCCCTCAGTCAGGCAGGTTCATGCCAGTTGTCTCTCAGATCGTTATGGCTTTCAGTCATTCAATATTACACTTAGTTCTAAGTTGTTTAAATACTTTCATTAACCCTTTATTAACCCACACATGAGATAAGTAGATCTTAAAAAATAGATAATAAAATATTTAAAAAACAATGTGATAATATTTCTAAGGTGTACTGATCAGTTTATTTTCAAATCAAGCTGTGTTTACAAGCTGTCCTTTTCACAAAATATATGCTGTAAAAAGTTATCATTAATGTATTCCAATGTTATCTTAAAACATGCAGCTTTAAAATAAAGTACACATCCTGTACACATTGGCCACAAGGACTCTAGCTCATAAGCTCAAGTTTCATTTGAGAATTATGACGTGTGTGTTTCAGCCATTTCTTTACCTTTAAGAACCTTTACCTTTAAGAAATCTAGATAGTGTGTCATTGTAGTTATTGCACAAACATGTTTAAAATGTGTTTGGTTGTAATATGTGTGGAATAATACTGGAAGTGAAGAAGGATTTCTGTCTATAGATAAGACAAATGTTTGCCAGCTTTCCCTGCACCTGAGGATGTATGCCTGTGAACAGCATTAGTAGGAGAAAGTCACCTGACAGTACATCAGATGCCTCTCTGTGTGCAGGTCATGACCTTTTCTGTCCTGCATGGACCCAGTCCCTCCTGACACACAGCAGAAGGAATAAGAGACAATGGAGGATTTGTCACCCAGCAGAGCAGAAAACCCCTAAAGACTTGTCACACAGCTCTTAGATGACAGTCGTATAATTGCTTTAAATTGTGCCCTGTGGTTGTTTTTAATGCTATGGCTCAGACGAAATAGAATATAACAATTACTTTGCAGGTTAAAAAGAGCGCAATGATGGCTATAATTGCCAGAGATATCGCTTTAGAAAGCTCCTATCAATCAATATAATTAAACTCTCCATTGCTGAATGACCTGTTAGACAGGTGAGTCTATTACACTGCTACGTATTGGCTCTTTTACCAATCCTATTAACCTCGTGGTACAATAACTTAGCAAATATATTCCATCCATCTATCTGTTTTATAACGGCCTCTATCAATTCAGGGTCATGGGGGAGCTGGAGCCCATCCCGGCAAGTAATAACAGATGCAAGGCAGTGTACACCTTGGATGGAATGCCAGTCTACTGCAGGGCAGACAGCCCGAAATTCACACATTCACACCTAAACCCAATATTCCTGGAAGTCAATTAACCTAACGGTATGTTTTTGGACTGTGGAAGGAGCCCGGAGTGCCAGGAGGAAATCCATACAAAGAAAGGGAGAACATACAAACTCCACCCAGATAGCTTCCCAGGCCCATAATTTAACTCAGAGCCCAGCACTGAGTGGCAGTAATGCCAACCACTGTGCCATGGTGCTGCCCAGCAAATTTACTGAAAAAACGAAATCAAACAAGATCACATTGACATCAGTCAACATCAGTGGCATCAGCCTGGAGTGAAGCTGTTAGATTCAGTTACTTCTCTCAACAGATAGTAGTTGATATTGCTTTACCTTAAAACTAGGGTACAGTGATTATTGTACTCTTGTGGCATCCCTTCAAACATGTCTTTGGCTGATTCAGTTTCCCAGTTAAAAACAATAAAATTCTGCTAAAGACTGTACAACACAAGCCCTGGACTGCTTTTCACATCACACCCACTTCTGCCTCATCAATCCCTCAAGCAGAATTTACATTACAACAAGGAGGTGTTATTGATCACTAACCCCAGAGCCTATTTACTGTAATGTATATTTCAGTCCTGCAGTTTAGCCATTAGTATACGCTAAATTTGCACATTTACTTTCACCAGTTGCTGGATAACATGTCTTGACAATATTATTTTCCAAAGAACGGAGATGTATATTGGGTGCAACCATGAATTTAAAATAATTATGGTTAATAAACATCATGATCAAGCATCATGTTTTACTAAACTGGGATCATGTGAAGAATAACTCCTAGGAGATTTGTCACTGTAAAATAAACACAGAAAACGTGGAACACCAATTTTAACATTCTCTTATTTTTTCTTCAAATATGACTCCCTAAAGACTACTAAAGAAATTTATGAAAACTGCCCACAGATTTCAGGGGCAAAATAAGGGTGTTTTAGGAGGATAACACACATGCATTGAAACACCTCCCTTCTAATACAGCAGGTGACCCAATATGTATTATTAACTATATCATCATCCACTATGAATGCTTATCCAAATTGAAGCTTGCACATTTCTCCCCTTAAATGGGAAACGTGTCTGCTATTATTTCAAAACTAGACAAGGAGGTCAGCAGGCCATATTAAACATTCGAAGCACAAAAGACTCTCAATCATCTAACCCAGTATTACACGACAGACACTGCACTCTGCTGACCTCAGTGCTCTTGGGAATTCTAAGCCATTTCTTTATTATTTCTTTGAAATTGTTAATGTTTAAGACCTAAGAAGAGAAAATATCAGTTGTGTTGTAAACGAACACAAAATCTGTTGAGGCAAATACTCTCCTGGGATTTAAAGATTATATGATTATATGACCCAGTTTTGACTGACAAGTGAAAAGAATGAATTGAATTACAGTAAAATATCTTCAAGCTTTTGCAGGCTGTATATTATTGCTCTCGTCTTAGTGTGACTATAGTGCTGTATGGCACAATCAGTGTAAGTCTACCCTTGACATCCTTCAAGGCTGATATCAAAGGATACTTAAACATAAGTTGCTTTAGTTGCTTTTTTCTATGTTTCTGTTGGGAAAATAAATTTGGTGCTATTGAAAGTTGAAATGAAACATACTGTAGCTGTCATCCACAAATTATGGGAACAGGTTAAAAACTGCAAAGTACTGTAAGTGAATATGTTCTTACCTCATGCAGTAACTTCAGAGCCTTTACATGTCTGAATAAAAAGCAGAAATGAAAAAAAATGTCAAGGCCAAAATGAATTCACAGAGGCATGAATGCATACAAGCACCAGCCCTGTGCAACTGATGTCCTTAAGAAATAACAATTGTGTGTGAAATTAGAAATGAAGATCTCAGAAGCCATGTCCTACACTGTCAACACTACAATGGATATGGTGCTAGAAGGCGTTAAGAATAATAACACAAGATCAATTGTTTTTTTTATTCAATTCTATATGTATATATATCCCTGTATTTTCATTTTTGCGATATGAAGAAATAATCTGGGAAAGTGGCTCCCAAAAATCTGGATGAACACCTGCAAGTGATATCATATTAAACAAACAGATACATATAAAAAGTTTGCTCTTAGGCCTGTTTCAGTGGCAGTTTGAAAAGACATACTGTATGTTCACTCCACTTCCTCAAGTGAAGAGATTAGGCCTCCAATTTCACTGCTATGCCTAAACGTGATTGTCGTTACCTCACTTTAATGGGATTTGTTCAGCAAGTGCCTTGCATACAAGCAGATGTTTCCATTTAAAGACTGCTTATTGACTCTGTTTTGTTTTTACTGTGGGTTTATGATTTGCCAAAATGTTTGCATTATATATTATTTCTTTGAAAAGTAAGAATTAGCTTCTTGCATAGCATTTTTGTGGTTTTATTAAATGAAGTGAAAAGGTGATTGTGATGTCAAATTTGTTTTTAAAGACAAAGGATCATTCCAACACTGTCATTCTTTTCTCAGATACAGGTCCAACAGAAGCACAAGAATGAACAGTTGTATTACACGTGGGAATTTGAGAAATATAATCTGTGGATTCAAGGTATGGATAATCACAGACAATCACAGAAAAATAAGAGATAAAGTTCTTTCCCAAATAAGGGATGAGAGTTCTGCAAGGATTGCAAAATACTCCTATCCTTATGCGTTTTTGTGCAGAATATCTGGACTAGAGCTAATTTGTCTTTAAACAGACACTTTTACACATTATGATGCTCACATTTTATGATGCAGCTATAAATCACTTGGGCTCTAGAGATTATCTGGAAATATCTGAATTGAGTGGGATAACTCACGTGTTCTCTGAATCCATAAGATCTTTTGCAATGTAGAAAGCTCTTGATTGCCCATCAATCTGTAAAAAACATTTTATCACAACATATAAAGGCAATACATTATTTTCCATCATTTGAATATTCTGGTATTGTTATTTCTGCGACAAACGTAACTCTATTGAGCAAGTGCTGCATATGTAAATTTCTTTTATCATAAGACGGAGTCGAGATCATAGAAAATAAGAAAGTCACAATCACAAAGGTAAAATTGTTTGTGAGTTAGGATGTTTTAAATTTAGAAACATTGAACTATGCAACTTCCTCAGAATTCAAAGGCATTGAACAAATGGGCAGCCATTGTTTTCTCAAAGAAAAGGCATGTACATAAATCAACTGCGCATACATACTTCTGTGAAATGTATGAAATTTAAATAAAAGAAAATGTAATACAATAATCATTAGCAACAGTATTTAGTCCTGTTGTTAACATATATATAAAATATATTATTTCAGAACTCTTATCCAAAAGGGTTTTTGTGATGGCTTCAGGAATTTATACTCTTTTCTATTTTCTCATAAACAAAAGAGAGAGCTCCTGTCACATGACTTGAGTCTGTCTGCCTGATATTCTTGAGACACTATGCTGGGCGTTGGTCCCTCTGTTATTAAACAGCTGTTTGTATAACCAGAGAATGAACCCAGAGTCTGACAACAATATGCAGAGACCACAAACTTGGAAAATAAAGTTATTTGGCTATACGTATTCTAAGACAGCAGGAGCTCTGGAATTGTCAGTTCAACATTGTCATTTACTATTCCACATAACATGGCCAAAAAACAGTTCTGATGATTAGGGCATTAACCTACATTGTCAATTTATTTTTCTTGGACATCTTCACATCAAAACCAGTAATCATAGGAAATCAAATACTTCCCTGTACATTACACTATTGGTTTGATCCGTTAAAAGTCGTGGATTACTACTGTTCTTTAAATGTTAGCATTTAAAGTTGACATTTCAAGTTGACATGTTGACATTTCAATACCATGACTTTGTGAGACTAGTCAAATTTGTTTCATATTCCGTTACTTCAAATTTCATGTTCAGTCTGCACCTGCAGTGCATATCCATAGTTTTTTTTTAAAGGGACTTTAAAACGCTTTGGTATTTTGGTAAGCGTTTATTTGGTGTTACTTACATTAAATTAAATACGCAAATGCATATTAAATTTACAGTAGTCATTCCATGTTACTTTCAGTTAGCATTTAACCAATAAGATCTACAGTATATGATCACAATGAACAGTGAAAAGAAAATACCGTACTATACTAATTATCCTATAATTTTGTGTCAGAGAAAATCTGTTAAGCTTTTAAACTGCATGTACTATAATTAAATACTGTAAATACAACTACGTGGTTTAAGATATTGTTTACATGTTCTTATTGAGAATTAAGTTTATTCCAGTTAAACATTAACTATCATTAGGTATTATTTAATATAAATTTAATATGCACCTCCATATGAATATAATAGTAATATATGCCATGAATAATACACTGTTACTTTTTTTTCTTTTAGAAACAACAGACACCAATAGCACAAATGCACATAATGAGATGCATACAGTACTCTGCTCTTACCATAAGGTGCACCTTAAGTAGCACATTATGTAACTTTGATGCAAGCCGGTTATAAGCTGTGATCCTTAAATAAAGTGCCAACAGAGGAAGGCATTATTACCAAAGCAGAGGTGTCCTGATAAGAGGCATTCATAGTGGCAATGCCGCCTTACTTATTGTTCTAAGATGTATATCTTGGGGTAGTGTTAACACACATCTTACACTTGAGATACTGTTTGAGATACTGACTTGGTCATTAAAACCAGAATTCACCATCCTCTAAAAATGGCTTTTTGAATGGACTCACCTGTCTCTCTTGGCTGGACTCTACTAGGCTGTCCTCTTCTCCAGAGCTCTTGCCTTGGTCTTCCTCTGATGCCAGGCCACTAACTGGCACTGTAGACACTGGGCACACATTATAAGGCTCTGTATAGGCACTGCAACAGAAGAAGACATGAAACTCAAAATCACAGTAAATCATTCAGGTTTAATGATCTCCATCACTGGTGTGAGTCATTGCAGAATTTTCACCATGTTAGAAATAGTCCTATTAAGGAGAAAATGCTCTGTGTGTGACTACTTCAAAAAGATGAAAGATGTCTAGCATCGCAAAGTGTTAGGACAATGAAGTAGAGACATTAAAAATCGTGTCAATCACTATAATGATAATTATTGTCACTGTTCTAGTACATCATGTGTGCTAATTCTCCCATGTTGGGAATGTCAAGTGCCATAGTTAACATAGTATGTCTTTCTACTATAGTATGTTTTAGTACTAAACATAGTATGTTTTTCTTTTACTTAAACAAATAAAAGTAGAATGCGTGTAAGTTTTAGTAAAAATATTTTTCTTTTTTGAATCACAACTCAGTCAAGAATACTGTAAGAATAAGTCAAGAATAAGTAACATTCTGATAATGGATGCCAATTTGGTTAAAGTGATCTATATGTTAGAGTATATGTATCTAACATGGAAATATAATACCACTTAAATATATTTTTCCTTGACACTGCATGTGATTACTGTATATGTAAAGCACTGCAACATTAAATCTAACACTCTGAACACATGGATGTGTGTTCAATGTCTTTAGCACAAATACAGTATCAGCCTTACATGACACATTATATATATATTTTTCTTCTCTGTGTTGTATTGTTCACACACTGCATAAGAATGACCATTTTCATAACTGTTCTCCATATACTGAAGAAAAACTCTATGCTTTAGCTGAAAAGTACTGAAGCTTTCCTTGAATTTGACAATAGCAAATCATTCTCCACAAACACCAGAGAAAAGGCAGAGCATTAAAGAGATGGAGTATTAACAACTCGATCTGTCTGGATCACTGGAAAAGAATCCACCAATTACCGTGAACAGAAGTACCCCAGTAAAGCTAGCAGATATTGTGTAATCCCTGAGCATTTGCTAAAAAACAGAGCTAAATAAACACCACAAAGCCTTCAAAGGTCCAAGCAACCTCAGCGTGTTTCCTATAATCCAAGCCTCATTTTCTTTTATTCTCCTGCAGCGGTAATACGGATGACTGAGACCAGATTGTGGAGACATTAGGAGCACAAGCACAAGCGCCAGTTCTGCAGCCACACAGCGAGCCACTTCAGAGCAGTAAAAGAAGAGCCCACAGAGACTGACTCACTTTTAATTGACTGAATCCACAGCCATACAAACTACACATACAACAAAGAAGACAGTAGCTTACTGCAACAAAAGCAGCTCTGTTTGAAATAACTGACATCCTGATGGCTTTAGCAGATTTCTTTAGCCAAGACATATGAGTGAAGTAGTGTAACCCTCTACTCTTGTAGCTGCTACATACAAAATGCAGGAAGCATATTTAAACAAACTAAGTTCAGCATACAAGACAATCCTTCACACAGGCATCTTCCAGCAAGTGGTGTCCCACTGGGGAGAGCTGAATAGTTTTAACATTTCATTTGACACACTGGGATGGTGGATGGCACAGTTTTACAGTAATGAGCAATTGCTGCTTTGCAGGGCTCGGGCCCCGAGTTCAATTCCTGGAGTGCTAGAGCTTGTACGGTATGTTCCCCCGGTTTTCATGTGGGGTTTCCTCCAGGTGCTCCAGTTTCCTCCCACAGTCCGAAGACAGACTGGTTAGTTAATTGGCTTCTGGGAAGACTGCCCTTCATGTGAGTGTGAGCGTGTTTGTGCCTGTGTGTGCCCTGAGATGGACTTGTGTCCCATCCAGGGTGTTACCTGCCTTGAGCCCCTTGCTTGCCAGGTTAGGCTCCAGCTCTCTTGCAACTGTGCACTGGATAAAGCCATTAGAAAATGGATGCATGGACATTGGGATAGGGTGCCGCCTTATTGAGCTGTAAATATTACAGAAACAGGTTCAAACAAACAAATAAACTCAAGTGTAGCCATATCTTTTTAGTCTATGTAAAATTTGACCTGCAATGCTTCCTAAAACAAAAGGATGCATTTTCAAAACTAGAATCTTGAACAATGGAGTCTTTGATCAATGTCTGGCTAAAATATAAAATATAAAGTTTTTACCTCACGATAGCTCTGCCTTGATTGCAAAGGCTAACAAGCTACTCTATTGCGAAATCTTTCAGAGGTACATTGGCATCCCTAAAACGATAAATGAACAACTCTGTTTGTTTCCTGATTCCAAATTGTTCCATAGGGCTTTAATACTTTAAATTTAGCAATAATATGTACATACACAAAAACATTTGAGGGCAGAATGTATACTTTTATTGGAAGCTATCCAAATGTTTAAAGACAGAGCATGCACTCGTGCTGCCATTGTAAATTTGGGAGATTTCAATCCGTCACATCTCTGAAATACAATAAGAAGTACATTACTGTTATCAGTGTTATCTATCCCTTGGTGCTGAATCTCATTATAGGTACAATTTTAAACAGGATCCATAAATTACACAGCTTTCTGCTAACACCTTTGCAAAGAGTCCACATATTAATCAAACACAAGATAATTTCTCAGCTCTGAATCTGAAGTCAGTCAGGTACTGAGATGATAAATGTATAATAAAATCTCAGCCCTTTTGAAAATAAAAGAAAATATCTCTTGTAAGACCTGTGACAGTTAAAGTATAATTTTTCAATACCGAATGTAAATATTTGAGCATTGCTTGAAAAATTACAACCCTCCCTTCAGTACTTATTTTGTTTCTTACATATAGTATTTTTCAGAAACAAATATTAAAATGTACGGTAAATCTGTTTTACTTTTTTATATACAGTACACCCTCGGTTTAACAGACTAATTGGGTGTCCATTATTACTGAATGTCCATTAAAATAAGAATTACATTTTTTCAGGTCCAAAATATATTACATGAGAAAAAAAAACACATACTGTATATACAGTATGCTTTCTGGATCTTCTAACAAATTTTGACAACTGTAATAAACACAGTCAATGTAATTTCTTTCTATGCCTTTTTTTACAATATACTGTACAATAGCATACATAATATCAAATATACAAGCTCTTTTTAGAAATTTAGAATATAAAATTCAGTGAAGCATATGAAATAAACAACACTCGTTTTTAGCAATTGATCTACCCCTACTGGATATCACTGATATTCCTGAATTTAAACCTAAGCAGCATTTATTTTTATTATATGTTAATAAATAATTAACTTTAATAATGAAGTCCCAAGTCTGTTAAAGTAAAGTCTGAGAAACTGAGGGTTTACTGTATTGCTAGCTTATATGGTTATGAGAAACACAAAAGGAACATACTGGACTTGAAGAACCAAGCATAGCCTAAGATAGACACCTGTAGTGTATTTAAATTGTACCTCAGGGTATATATGTGATTGTGGTGGAGTGAAGCAAGGTCTCTGTGGCTGGGGAAATCATTCTGAGAGGTGGAGCCCTGATTACAGTATGTTAAACACCTGTGATGAGTTTGGGAGAGACCATTCTCAATGTAGATGACAAGCTTAACGGAGCCCAGCTATGGTGACTTTTGGGTGACTCAGCTTCCCTGACTGTCACAAGACTGTCTTTGATTAAGTACTGTACTAACTTCAGACATCAAACTAAAGGACTGTAGTAACACAAGCAGTAATTAAGTAATGGTGTTACCATGAAAAACATGTTGCTATGTATTTATTAATGAGGTTAGTACTTAAACCAAATACATAGATCATCTTCTGTTTGCTGGAATTGGTCTGAAAATGTGGATGGACTTGAAGGTTAAAATTAAATGGGCTATTATTGCAATAATTAATCACAGTTTAAGGCGGGACAACTGACAAAAATTTGAGAATGGGCATGGAATATCACTGGGCTGTAATTGAAAATCATTACATGGGAGACATCTGACTGCAACAAGCTGCTCCTCTTTATAAAGAGCACTTGCTGTTTATTTTGATATTGTGAGCACACAAATTCAAAGTAGTTCAGTTACCACAAGAGCTTTAAAAGCAAGGCGAGTACTGTCTTGTTGAAAAATATCCAGGTGGTATTGTCCAGCTTTGTAAGAGCATTGCTTTCTTCTATTTTTGTCTACTTTTAAAAACTTTTTTTTTAATTGGCTGCCGTTTCTGGCTGCCTCTCAGGAAAAGACACATTAATTGTGCTAGCAAGAATGGCTCATGACTGCTGCAGTCTAATCTGTTCAACCATCATACACATTCTGAATATTGTTATACCTTCGGCATACAGTATACAGTAAAACGTCTTTTGTTTCAATGCATCATTTTGAGCATGGTTGCTCAAATACAGTTGCTCATACAAACAACTATATATATTTCTAAGTTCTAAGTTAAGTATGATCAACTTTTTCATTTAATATAAATTTGCATCTTCATTGTTTGAAATGAATATTTAACAGTGATGATGTTTCCTTGTGACAGCTTCATAGAACATTTTAAAACATGCAAACATGTTTAAAATGAATGATTAATGTTTAAAATTAACATGGATCAGCAAAATAGATGAATAGTTATCATTTTCAAACATTAAGAGCTTAGGCTTTGTACTAACTGTAGTCCTTAGCTTTATAAGTCTACAGCTGGGGCCTAACAAAGAACACAACTACAGACGATCAGATGGGCAGATAGTGCTATACTAAACAGTTTAATGTGCAGTTTTTTTAATCCAAAACTAAATAAATGGGATGTCATTTTTTTAATGATCTTAAATATTAACATTGAATCCTACATGTACTTCAAGCTGTAACTCTTTGTATAATGGTCAAAAATCAGCACAGTCCATAGCTAGTTTTTTTGTAAATTTCTAATATGTTTTCATTCATCTTGGATGTAAAGAGTTCTGATCAATGTTCTGAGCTTGTTTGGATTCAAGGGCCAACATTTTTTTACTACAGAATTGTCCACAGAAATAGTTGGAAACAAGGAATTTGAAATACAAGACTTTCTTTCTAATATTGTGAAGAAGTGTGAAAAAT